GGCATTTTTTTCCCCCATCCAAGAGTCAGATGGCACAATCTGGGGACTGAGGAGCTCACCCTGAGGGCTGTGACGGCTTGCCTCGAGCCGAGGGCCGAAGACAGCCCACCCTGGGCAGAGGGCCATAAATGCTCATATTTAAAGAGATCCCAGTTATTTAGTTTATCTTCCGCTGTTTGTGACTTTTTTGCCTCACATATTAAGATTTTGAATTTGCCCCTAATTTTTCTTTCATGGTCTTTGTAGTTTTAGATTTTATTTTCAGAACTTTGATCTATCTTGAGTTAATTTTTGTTCATGGTATGTGGTATGTATTCTGTTTCGTTTTCTGCGAATGGATAACCACTTTTGCCAGTTCATTTGTTAAAGAGACTGTTGTCTCCCCATTTAATGATTTCAGCCATTTGTTGAAGATCAGGTGTTTAGGTGCACAGATTTACTTCTTGGGTTCTCAGGTCTGTTGATCTGTTTGTCATTGTACCAGGCCCAGACTGATTTTGAACACTATGGCTTATCTTCTGGGATCTGTGAATATGAGGCTTCCCACTTTGTTGTCCTTCAGTGTGCTTTGCTTATATGGGGTCTCTTTCTTTTCTGCATAAAATTGGGGATTCATTTTTCCACCTTTTTAAAGAGTGCTAGTAGAATCTGGATGAGGATTGTGCTGTAACTATGGTCTGATTTGTGTTGAGATTTTCATAACACTTAATCTTCCCAATCCATGAGGATGATGTGTTCTACTTATCTAGATCATTTGGGGTTTCTTCAGGAGCATTTTGTACTTTTCTTTGTATAAATCTTTTACATTCCTGTTGTTAGATACTGTCCAGTCAGAACCGACTCATAGCTGATCCTTCAGCAGATTTTCAGCAACGGTAAATTGCACGGTGGGGAGATTGTCCATCTTTCTCCCACAGAGCAAGCAGCTGGTGGATTTGAACCAGATGCCTTTCTGTTGACAGCCCAACTCCATACCACTTGGCCACCAGAGCTTCCTAGTTAGAAGCCTTTTCTACCTAGGTTTATTTTTGAGGATGGCATCTTTTTAATGGCTTTTGTAAAGGGTACTGTAGGCAACTCGATGGCACATAACAACAACAACTGTTTTCTTGGTTTGGTTTCCAAAGTTATCTTTGTTTGTGTGGAGGGTCTGGTTGATGATGTGTGTTGATCTTGTATGTTGCTGAATCCTTCTATGTGTTCCAATAGCTTTCTTAGGAAATTACTGGGATTTTTATGTATAGGAGCATAGTGTCTGCAACTAGGCATAGTTTCCATTTTCCTCCCAATTATAGATACCTTTTGAGTTGATTTTTAATCATTTTATCTTCCGAGTAGTGCTTTTTAAAGTAACTTTGTACATACAAGTATGAATTTTTTATAAAACTTTAGAAGAAATGTTCAAACACATAATCATAGATAAGAGTTGAATGAACCTCTAAATCCTCAACATCAAATTATAACATTTACCCTCATTTTTTTGCATTCTTGTTTTGTTTTCAGCCATCTACCACGTTTCTTGGTTCTATATTATTAGGTGACATTGAATCGACTACAATTCATAGTGACTCTGAGAACTACAGGTCTGCGTTATCCTCACCACCTCTGATAAGCTCCAGTTCCCTGTTACAGTCTCCAGGTCGCTCCATTTTGTTGATAATCTTCCTCTCTTCCTTTAATCCTTTACTTTTCCCAGTAGATATCTTAAAAGCAAATTACAGACATTATACAAGTTTACTTCAGTATAATGAATTTTTAAAAACTCCTTGTTTTAGAAATTTTCAAACATATTCACAGAGAATAGTCTAAAACATCTCATGTAGTACAGTTGCCAGCATTCGCCTGTTTCCTTTCCTCTGGCTCCCTTTTCTTAGCTGTTGGAGTATTTTTAAGTGGATCTCAGGCATCACATTCTTTCATGTAAACATGTTACTAGAATGTCATCATTTAGGCATAAAAGACCAAAGTGTTTAGAGCTGACAGCATTTAAAAGATGAAAAGAAGCAGCCCGAGTTATCTACTTTTTGGGGCATTCATTCTAGATCTCACCCCCAAGCCCTTTACTTTGAAGAAGGTGGATTTTAAAAGAAACCTACAGCTGGTAAACAATAATGAAACTAAAAAATGCCAGCTATGCACTTGAACCATGGATGGAATTTCCCTTTCTGTCACGTGGGTCCCAGTGCGTGATTTATGTGGTGGATGACTTCTTGGGTTTAGTCCTCAGTGGCTCTCAGCTGAGACGTCCTGGTGACGCAGTGGTTAAGCACCTACCTGGCTGCTAGTGGAAATGCCAGCGTTTCCAAATTCCCAGGGGCTCAGTGAGAGAAAGATGTTGTTTCTGTAAAGGGTACAGCTTGGAAATCCGACGGGCAGATCTGCGATGACCTATAGGACTGCTGGGACTCAGAATCGACTTGAAGGCAGTGGCTTTTTTGAGTTTGGCTTGCTTTGGTTGGGGAGTAGTAGTACCTGCAATCTGGAAAGAGTATTCAGCTGAAGATAATTGCGCCCCCTACGGGACATTGAGCAACATCTGGAGATATTTTGGGTGCCCTACCTGAAGTTAGGACCACCAGAGCTGCTCAGCATCCTAGGAGGCATAGGATGGCTCGACTAGCAGAGTTATTTGGCTCCAAATGTCCAAGTTGAGCAACCCTGGTTTAGGTTATTGGCAAGTAAGTTATACAAGTGGCCAGGTCTTCCACTCATAGGGGCGCTATGAGTCGCCTACAACTCGATGACACTTAACAACAACAGCATAGAGAAAGCTCAGTTGGCCTAGTGAACAGAAAATGATGCTCCCGAGCCAAAGGTGGGTGACTCTAATCTGCAGCCCTAAGGTTGGTTTTTAATTATTTTTGGTCATTCTTCTAGGTTGTATAGCCCAGATGTGTCCATTTGCTGTACAGAGGTAACTCGTGGTGGTTGTTGTGAAGCTGAACACTGTGACACTGATGTGTCAAATGCAAGAATCGTTACTCATAGTGGACAGTGTTTGGTGGAGCTCCCCGATTATAACAAGCTTAGAAGCAGGAGTGGCATCCACTTCCAAAATAGCTTGCCTCCAGAAACTCTATGGACCTGGAGAAAGGATGAACGTTATACAAGTGTCCAGGTCTTTTGTTCATAGAGTCACTATGAGTCGCCTACGACTTGATAGCATTTAACAACAACAATGTGTGGTATAGGGTTTTTAATTGGTTAGGCTAGTTCAGTCATGGCCAACAAAGCAAAACTAGAACGAAAAATTTTGGTGCTGTAGTGTGCTGTCGAGTCGCTTGCAACTCATAGTGACCAGATGTATTGAAATGGGAATAATTACAAGTCAAAGCCTGGGAACAGAAGGTCTGGGAGAGGTGGAGCCAGCCCTTTTGGGAGCCTGTTGCAGGAGATTGAATTATCCTCAGGACCATGGAGAGCAACACAACCAATGTAGCCTTTCTTGGCCTCCATCTTTGAGTGATTTGTATTCCAAATTCCAAAATCAGAGAGGTAAGAGGTGTGGTTGCTAGACAACATATTTGCTGCCCTAGTTTTCTAAGAGAAAGATTATACTGACAGCAGATCTCCAACCTGCATTTTGTCTAGTTCACCCAAATTTTTTTTTTCACCCAAATTTTTAAAATCTGAGTTTGTTCTGGTTTTATCTCCTTGGCAATGATGGAACTAGAAAGAACCGATTCACATCCTGGTGCTTTGTCACCAGGAGCTCTCTCCTCTGTGGTTCTTCGACTTGCCATGTGTGTGCCATTCACTAAACACTGCCGGCAGGCGTAGGCGCCAGTCAACATTTGCAAGTGAAAGAAAAGTCCTTCCTGCTCAGAAAATGACAACTGAAGTGACTCCATGTAGACTCTTCTAGCAGTTGTCTCAGTAACGATCGTGTTAGAGGTTTGTGTAAATCTTGTGTAAATATGTAAGATTTAGACTGATCACAAAGAAAACACACTCTTTCTAAAAGAGAGCAGATGTGAAATAGTTTTCTTCTCCTGAAGAACTTTCAGAAGCAAAACAAGTTCTGGCATTGTTTTGATTCTGGAATTCTGATTAAGCGGATATGTAGGAGGAACAGAAATTGGGATAAAGGTGAAGACAAGAAAGGAGAATGATATGCACACCCATGTTTATTGCGGCTCTGTTCACAATAGCAAGGAGTTGGAAACAACCTAAGTGCCCATCCACAAACGAATGGATAGAGAAGCTGTAGTATATTCACACAGGGAATATTACGCTGCATTGAAAAACAAGGAATTAATGCAATGTTATTCAAAATGGGTGAGCCTGGAGGACATTATGCTGAGTGAAATATCTCAGTCACAAAAGGACAAATACTGCATGGTGCCACTGTTGTAAAACAGGACTGACCTCGGGGTTGGGGGGAGACTGAGAAGGATGGGTTCAATAATGTATACCACATTGAAACAGATGAGGGAGAAAACTGTTTAAGAGGGAAAATTATTAGGTATTTTTGTCATGATAGGAGTCCAGAGCGAAGGCTGTATAGTAGAGTGGACCTAGAGGGAGAGATTGTAAAACAATGAAAGAATTTTTCTTTTATTTTTCCAAGAGGGTAGTGTACTGGGGGTAGGGTTGGGAGGGGGGAAAAGTGCAACAATGAATGAATGGAAATCCAAAGTCTCTGTAAATTTTCATTGAAATTAATAATAAATTTTTAAAAATGTAAAAAAGAAAGAATGGTTTTGTCCTGGAAAGTGTTTCAGAGGCGCGGTCCTAACATGCCTCATTTTGTAGACTTATTGGTGGGTGTGGTCAACTCAGTTTTTATTCATAGTGACCCTGTATGACAGACAAGAGCGTCTCCACAGGGTGCTCTTGGCTGTAACCTTAAAAGCAGACCACCAGGTCTTTTTCTTGCAGAGGTACTGGGTTGATTTAAACTGAGCTATTGTGCTTTCAGGGCAAAGCAGAGTAAATACCTGTTCTCTCTGCTCATGGTAGGCTAGACAAGGGAGGACCCACACTAGCGTGTCATGCTGGCCATCAAGGAACCTAGAGGCAAGCTGAGAGAGGAGCATGTCCACAGCTAATTGTGTGGCCTGGATGTTTCTATTGGGGTCTAGGGGCCCTGGTGCCGTGGGTAACATTCTGCCTTGTTTCTTTCCAGATTGCGCATTTAGAACGTGGATGTGCAGGATAACATGTCCAGTGTGTCCGAGGAGAGAAGAAAAAGGCAGCAGAACATTAAGGAAGGACTGCAGTTCATAGAGTAAGAGCCGGAGAATTCACACCTGATGTTTTCGTTTCAGAAGGATGTTTTTCATTTTTAACAAGGCTGCACATTTTACAGAAGTGACACAGTCTTGAGTCATGTTTAACAGAGCCTATTAAATTGCTCTAGACATGCCATAGTTTTGTTCCCACTGTAATTTTTGCTCTTGCCCATGTGAGGATTATTGTATGCCCTGCTGCCTAATTTCAGGACTAAAGTCCTTTTGCAGCCCTTAAATGTTAGACTGAGGAATTTGAACCAAATCTCATAACAACCATTCTGATGAATGAAAGCAAGCTAATCTGTCAGGGGCTTTGTGCTCAGACACTGAGCATAAGAAGCATCATCACAGGGGGAGGAGTGGGCAGGGAGAAAAGTACAACAGTGAATGAATGGAAATCCAAAGTCTCTGTAAATTTTCATTAAAATTAATAAAAAATTTTTAAAAAAAGAAGCAGCAGCATTGTCACTATCTGGGCTTCTTGCAACAAACAGTGATGACATAGCCCTTGGCTCATGTGGGCATGTCCAGGCAGAGGGGCCACTATGTTCTTTCTGAGATGGAGACATTCTTTTCCTTCATGTTGCAATACACTGGACCAAATAGTAGTAGTGGTGGTGCTGTACTACTTTGTAAATATTTTTGGCATTTGAAGAATTAAGCCTTCTTTCAGTGGAGGCATGATTTTAAAAGGAGTATCCTTCTTGAAAGCCGCCTTCCTTAAAGAATAGCTCTAAATTATTTTTTTTTTCTTTTCTTGAGAAAAATGGTGGCAAAGGAGATCGTGTTCTTAAAATAACTCTTTTGACCAGTGGTTATTGCAGTGGATTTGATTTGATTTGGAAGCTAATCATACCTCACTTTTTTTTTTTTTTTGTTAAAACACATTTATTGACTGTGTACATACCTCACTTTTAAGATGACTTCTGGTTGAACGAGCCCTAATGGGAGCCTAATAATTCTATTTAACTTTATTTCTTCTTCTTAGGTCACCGCTGTCTTACCCGGGAACACAGGAACAATATGCGGTAATGACTCTCTTGGAAGGTCTTAAATGCTTAAAAGAACATTAACACACATACACACACACACAAACAAACAAACCTATAATATACTGGTGTTGGCAAACTTTGCTCTGTCAATGACAAGTGTGGCCCACTACATGTTTGTGTAAATAAAGCTTTATTAGAACATAGCCATGCCCACTTGTATATTATGTATGCCACTTTTTTCTAGTATATCATAGCTGCAAATCTGAGATCATATGATCTGCAGAGTCTTAAAGATGTACTCTCTGACCAACCCCACATGTAGAGGACAGTGCTGGCTTGGTTTTGGTTTTATGATGGGTTTCTTTTTTGTTTGTTTGTTTGGGAGTTTTTATGGTTGGGTGTTTTGTTTTTATTTTTGTTTTATTTTTTTTATTTTATTATTTTTTTGTGTGTGTACCTTCAAAATGGATCTGATTGGTACAGGAGGAGATTGCCCCTCCTTGTCTAACAGAGCATCTGGTAGATTCAAACTGTGTACCTTTAGAATTGCAGTGCAGTTTCTTGCCACTAGGTATTGGGGTTTTTTGTGTGTTTACGTGGATGACTCTTAGATGGGTTTTTTTCCCTCTCTAATATGGAGGACAGTGTTGGGTACTGTTTTGCATATTTGGATAAATGTAATTTTTTTCCCCTCTCTAAATAGTATAATCTTGAATTAGCATATCTTTTAAGCCTCTTGAAAACTGTCACTTACTTTATTTCACAAAAAAAAGTAAGTGGTTTGGAATTTGTTGACAGGGGGAATGCAGAGTGTCACCTGTTTTAGAAGAGACATCCTGACAGCATTAAAGCAGAAGTCACAAGGGGCAACGAGGGAGGTTTGAGTGGTGACTCTCCCACTTAACACAGTAAACACAGGGAAAAGCCAATTGGTCATGTCTCAGTCCACAGGCCCACTTTTCTGTAGACATATTGGTTTACCTGGGCTTTTTGTTTCTGAAGAGTTTTCATGCTTCTAAATGTCACTTCCTACTGTCTCTGTCCCTCTCGCTTCTATATTTAGATTCTCCATCCCTCTTTTCCACATTCTTTCTATTTAAGTGCTAAGCATAGCATCATAAGATTTTCCGAACATGTGGAAATATACCACATTGGGGCTAGACATCGCCACTACAACCCTATCACTCTTCAAGCATGAGATTTATGTGCATTCAGGTTTTATGACACCTCAGAGGGTCACATCATTGTTTAAAGATGGACCTGCCCAGTGTTCTTGAATAATTTAGGCAGCTTAGAAATGACTCCATAAAACAAGCAAAATAGCTCATATGATGGGGAAAGGCCTTAAAATATTAAAGCCATGCTAGAAATCATGAAGGAAAATGTGAAATGTAGATAACAAAAAGCTTATGTTTGCTTGCCTTATGAGAAAGATTATTTAATACTCTCCATTTTTAGAACTAGGCAGAATGATCTGAGTAAAAGATTAACAAGTAGGAGCTGTAAATGGCCCATAAAAGGGTGGAAAAGGCCAGTCTCATCAGCAACTGAACACACACAGATAACAGAAGGCTCCCCTTTTAACCTAGGAATTGGCAGGGGTGTGCACACGCATGCTCTCTCTCGTGTTCTCATCCTCCCTCTCTCTCTCTCTCTCTCTCTCTCTGTCTCTCTCTCTCTCTCTCACACACACACACACACAGAGTGATGAAGTGATGACAAGGATGTTGTAGAAATGTGAACTTTTTGAAAGGCAATTGGAAATCACAGAAACCTTTAAAAGTCCCTTCTCTTTGAGGGCTTCAAACTGTCGAGTTGGAGATGTGAACATCTATCTGCTGAAAAAGAGGCATTTTTCTTCAGGGTGGGATGCTGGGACATTCTCAGTATTCCACAGTTCAGGGCTGGTTAAATAACATAAAAATAATGTATTAGCTATCGAATGTCTCTGCAGTGGAATATTAGATGATGTTGAACTTTTTGGGTTTTCTTCCTTCCCCTCCCCCCAAATTTTCTTTGAACACACAAGCTGGGTAAAAGCTGCGATCCCATCACAGTGACTGTGGCTTATGTTCTTGTTTTTTAAAACAGTGCCGATTGCTCTCTATCAGGTTGTATTCTGCTGACATTTTAAATTCAAAATGAAAATTGGCTTCTCTAACCCGCTTGCTCAAGTATTTCAAGTGGCAACTTTCTGCTCTTAGGTATATCTACGTGCCCTTGTGAGAAATCTTTTTAATGAAGGAAATGATGTCTTCCGGGAATGTGATTGGAAAGGCTCGATAAGCCAGTACACAGAAGCTTTAAATATAGCTGATTATGCAAAGTCTGAAGAAATTATAATCCCTCAGGAAATCATTGAAAAATTGCATGTCAATCGTATTGCCTGCTATTCTAATATGGTGAGTTGTCATTTTAAAAAACAGTAATCTTCCTATTGTTATTGTGTACCATTGAGTTAGAATCAACTCTTAGCGAGTTAGAATCAACTCTTAGCTGACCTTCCAGTCGGTTTTCAGAGGCAGCTAATTGGAAGGAGATTGCCCAGTTTTCTCCCTCAGAGCAGCTGGTGGATTGCGTTAGAGTTGGCAGTGCAATTTCTTACCACTAAGCCACAAAACTCCCTAATCTTGTTATAGAGAGATTTCTCTCCCCCACCCCCCGACACTCAGATTTCCCAATTTAGGTTTAAAGAAACTTTTTTGTTTTGTTTTCAGGTTTTTATTGGGGGCTGGAGGTGGGGGCCCATCCTCAGAGGTGCTCACAGTTTCTTCAGCCACTCCAGGCTGGGTCCTTGAGGGTCCTGGGGGTGGCTGGGCACATCAGGCATGTTCCCATCATCTTGGAGGGGCACTGGATAGCTGTAAGGGGTGATCTTGTTGATGATGGTGGCATACATGGTGTAGGGGCTTAACAAGGGCAGAATTACAGCGAGACCCGCGATGGTGAAGGACACGACCAGCACGGGCTCCTTGGGCCAGGCATTCTTGAGGAAGGCTGCGAGTCTAGTCGCCATGGTGGCCTCCACGGCGGCAGCAGGTTTAAAGAAACTTTAAAGTTTCTTTAACTACTTCAGTTGCCTGTTAGCTGCCTTTAGAAGAGCCTGATGCTTTTGGGAATCAACTTGGGACAAATGTTTAAGGCTTTTAAAAAATATGTTTCTTAGTGATCCTTAGAGATTCCTACTGGCTATTCAGAGGTCTATCTGCTTATTTTAAAATGTTGCCTTGGGAAGATAATGTTCACAGATGACCACATTTTTTAAGTGTCTGTGTCAACAGTGCACTTCATACTCTTTATTACAATAATATTTAAAAATAATATTATACTGTGTTTTTGATGAATGCTTTATTTTATTAATGTGACAAATTACATTGTTTTTTTTATATTGAACCATCCTTGCATATCTGTTAGGAATCTTTGCGTAGCCTGTTAGGGTCTCATTTGGTGCTTGATGCAGATTATTCAGTGGTCATAGTCAAATTTTCTCCAATGCATCTACATTCAATGTTTTGGTGATTCTATTTCTGGTACTTGCTTTCCTTGCCTTGCTGCCTTCTCTTTGCTTTAGAGTAAAACGTGACCATTTGGGCTCCTACAGGTGGCTTTTTAGCAGATTACTGTATACACTGGGTTGTATCGTTTATTTTGCATGGCACTCTGCTGTTTAGTTAAAGGGTGACCCTCAGGGGATTGTTTTATTTCAGAGTTTTGAGAATACCTGAGGACAGCAGTCTCAGAGAGTTGTCTGGACTTTGAAAAGAATTGTGAGTTCTGGTCTACATTTTCTCCCTTCATACCCAGGACCATCTATTGTGGGCCCCACCCAGTAAGAGCAGTCTGTGATGCTGGCTGGGCACATCTAGATGAGGACAGTAGTCTTTTTATTGTTGCCCTTGAATCAGTTCTGACTCACGATGACTTCATCTACATCAGAGTTGAACTGTGCCCTAAGGAGGAGTGAGTGAGTGAGTGAGTGAGTGAGAGAGAGAGAGAGAGAGTGTGTGTGTGTGTGTGTGTGTAAAATTGTGCTTTGGCTGATCATTTATGTGTTGTTATATGCTATCAAGTCAGAACCGACTCACAGCTGACCCTCCAGTGGGTTTTCAGAGGCTGTACACACTTGCTGTGTGTCAGAAAGCAGGACAATGACTAGGGATGATAGGAGAGTTGATGCCTTTGAGCTGTATGGTGCTGGAGAAGAGTACTGAATATACCATGGACTGCTAGGAAAAAAAACAGGTTTGTCCTGGAGAGGGTGAAGCCAGACTGCTCCTTGGAGGCAAGGATTCTGAAGCTTCATCTGACATACTTTGGACATGTTGCAAGGAGGGACCAGTCCTTGGAGAGGGACGTCATGCTTGGGAGGGTGGAGGGACAGCGCGGGAGGGGAAGACCCTCGATGAGATGGATTGATTCAGTGACTGTGGTGATGATGGTAGGTGTGTCGGAGACAAAAGATTGGCACAGGATAGAGCAGGGTTTAGGGCTTTTGTACACAGGGTCGCTGTGAGTCACAGGCGACTTGACGGCACCTAACAACAACACTCTTTACCACTACAGCAGCAGAGCTTCCTGAGCATTTAGAGTGATCAGATTAATTTCTCATTCAACAGTTGATCCACATTTTGTTTTGTGACGTTGGTTGCAGTTCTCTCAATGTAATCGTACTCTTCCCATTTCCGTCCTGAGTTTCCCATGTCCATTCGTCTGTCTTTCCCACCCATTTCTGTCTTCCGAGCATTGTGTAGAGAGGCTGGTACCACTCCTTTGGTCTTGAATGATTAGTTGTTGTGAGGAATATGTTCTTCACAAGTGTTACTGCTCACTTGGTATAGGCCTGCCTGTTGTTTGGCTGGAAAGTGATCCCTCGGGTTGAGTTCAGTTCCAGGCTTGAAGGGTATCCACGGGCATCAGTCCTGGGTGCCCCACCAGTGTCTGCTAGATCAATCAATCTGGGGCTAGTTTTTTTGTTGTTGGTTGTTTTGGTTTTGTTTTCCATGATTTTGAATTCTGGTCTGTGTTTTTCTTCCATTCTGTCCATGGCCTTTAGGACCCCACTCAGAGGTTGGCAGTGGCAACAAGCACCATCTAGTTCTTCTGGTCTCCAGGTAGTGGAAGCGGTAGTTCGAATAGTCCCAATAATCCTAGAACTGTCTCTTTAAGTCTTTGATTTTCTTCAGTCTTCTTAACATTGGACGGGGAGACTCTAGTAGTTGCGTCTTAGATGGCTGCTGCTCGCTAACTTCAAAGACAAGAGTTGTTAATCACCAAAGAAGGACATAGAACATTGTCTTTGTGAACGGTGTTATGTCAGATGTTATTCCCCCGAGACTGTGACTCCAAGCCTGGTGACTCATTCTCTCAGGTGTTTAGTTGTGACTAAGAAGTTTTCATAACTTTGCTTCCCCCCACCCCCATCAAGTTTCCGAGGCTTTAAATCACTATGCGAGGAGATTGCCTGACTTTCTGTCTTTGAGCCATTGGTGGATTCGAACTGCCGGAGTTGTGTGCAGTCTTTGGGTCAGGAGCACAGCTCTCCGTGAGCTACACCACCAGAGCTCCCCTGTATGTCCTGCTCTATGTATGTGGATTGCAGCACATACAAAGAAATAGGTAGAAATACCTTTGCCACACCTGTGCATGCTGGTGGCTGTAGTCTTCCCGCACTTGTTCTGCTTATATGTCTGCCTCCTAGATTAGTGTTTGTGGTTGCTGTTAGTGCCGGGCTGTGTGTGCGGCAGTACTTCACCTCCCTGCGCTGTCACTAAGTCTTGTGCACCTCTCAGTGCTGCCTTTTGCTTTGGTCCTGATGTGCTGTCCTCCTCCTTCTTACATACTGCCTTTTCACTTCACCCAGACAGTTTACTTCTTAATTAAGATTCAATTAGTCCTCTTAGGAGTTCTTTTAGCACCACACGGTAATTAGCCTCGAAGGGAATTAGCACACTGGCTTTTCACATTTCCAAGCCTAAGAAAACATTGTTTTGATGTGCTTGTAGTTTTCACTATGAACATTTCAGTAGAATTGAGCTATGAATTTTTGAACAGTGTTCATGCTGTCGCCTTCTTCTTTGTAATGAGCATTCACTGGGGAATTTCTTCTCATTCCACATTCCTTGGCTGTTATCTCTTGGGGAATTACGGTCTTAATGTACTCCAGAAAGCAAAACTACTGAGAGGAGGGAAGCCTGGGGCCTTCTACCGTATTTGCAAAGCTTCCATTTCCTAAAAAGATGGGATCTTTATGGCCAAATACTAAAATTTGTCTGATCTAGGTGGTGGATATAAGCTGTTCATCACATTTGTTCTATGTGTATTTTGGGGAACGCTGGTGACTTACTCCCTAGAGAGTTACACTGCTAACCCAGAAGCTTCACCTCTGGCGCTTTGAATCCTCCTGTGACTCTGAGATGAGCAGTCTCCTCCCTTGTGATTTACAGCCTCAGACACATTTACTGGCTCAGACCTATGAGTCAGTCCGACTCCATGGCAATGAGTTGATTACTTGGTTTGTGTACTAGAAATCTCATAGTGAATGTAATCTTTAAACGAAAACTAACAGCATCAACTTTAAGTTAAAAGGGGGAGGTAGTTTTGTTTGCATTTAATTCAAGAAACGGATTGCTTATTAACTTTTTATTTTGGTCTTGCATTCCAGGGTTTCCATGATAAAGTGTTAGAAGACTGTGATACAGTCCTCGGCTTAAATGCCAGTAACTGTAAAGCTCTGTATCGGAAATCTAAGGCCCTAAGTGATTTAGGAAAATATAAAGAGGCTTATGACGCTGTGGCCAAATGCTCGCTAGCCGTGCCTCAGGTATGGAGCTGATATTTTCGTTCATTTACTTGCTCAGATCTGTTGGAAAGTGACATCCAGACAGTTAAATTTTGGATGGAACTTTGAACCTGCTTCAATTGGATATAGCTGCTATAGCAGGCCCCTTTCCAAGAAATACTTCCTAACTGTTTTGTCTCTGTTCTATAGTGCATTTCATTTAAACACTCCATTAATCATATGTGCTGATGTTTGCAGGATGAACACGTAATAAAACTAACTCAAGAACTAGCTCAGAAATTGGGATTTAAAATAAGGAAAGCATATGTTAGAGCAGAGGTAAGCTGGAGTTCTTTGTATAAGATATTTTCCTCTTATTTTAAGACTTGAGTCAGTTGTTTGTAAACTAACCTCTTTTTAATTTTTTTTTTCTTTCAGCTCTCATTAAAATCACTTCCTAGAGATGGCGCTGCCAAGGTAAAGTTATTACTAATATAAGAGCCCTACTTTTAAGATAAAACCACAAAGATGAACACTGACAATTGTGCTTTTAATATTTTTGATGTGGGGTTTTTTTTATTAAATTTTAATGAAGGTTTACAGAGACTGGATTTCCATTCATACATTGTTACACACTTTCCTCCCTTTCCCCCCACCCCAGTTCCCTTTTCTCTTTGAAGAAAAAAAACTCTTTCACTGTTATACAATATCCACCCACCCTACCACCCCCCAGTCCACTTTACTATGCAGCTCTTATTCTGGACTCTTGTTGATGTGTTTATTTTTGAGACCTTTTTTATTCCTCAAGCACGCAATTGTCTGTAGCTTCCTGTCCACCTTAAACAAGGTCAGTACTGAAGTAGTGCATTTCCATCTCAAGCAGCATTTCCTGAACTCTGCTGGAAGATTTGGCAGGATGTTGATAAATATTAAGAATTACAGGGATTTGAGAATGGATGTTTCCAGGACAAGCAACAGTAATTTGGGGGAATCTTTGGGGTAAATAAAACTGAGGTGTTTTTATTTTACTGATTTTTATTTTATTTTGTTTTTAACTCTCTGTCATCTAGGAGTTCTCATATGCCAGTCTGAGTCATGGGTAGTGTGCAGAATAGGCCTTAGACCTGAGTTCTTTGCAAGTTACTCTTTGTAATTGGTATTTTCCTGAAATACTAATCCTCGGGAAATTAGTGATGGGGTAGCTAGACTAGGACCTCATTTGACACCACTGATTCGGCTTGAAAATGCCATTTATTTCTTGGATCATAATAGGAAAGGTGTCAAATTCCTGTGAAAACCTGCTTTATACTCTTGAAATGAGTTGTACAGACTGCTTTGTAGTTGCCAGTCTTGAAATGATCATGAGCCATTGCTTGCTTTCATTTCTAGGCTTCGAGCTGTTCAGTGGAAGATATCGAGCCAGGTATGTGTTCACGCTGACACTCCGTCATCACACTAGCACCCTGAAAAGTGCCAGCTCTCAGGCTGACATCTGTACAGTGTTGTCCAATCAGATTACGATATTGTGGTTAGGAATAAAGCATGCATCCTTTTGAAAATGACCTTGGTGTTCGGAGTGTGCCATCGAGCACTCTGATAGTCGCTGATGCGGTGAGGAGCACCCACCACAGCCTCCCCTTTGTCCGGTGACAGCCCCCATGGGGTGCAGGCATTTTAAGGAAGAAAACAGAGTTCTCCCAAATAATTATCTATCGCTGGACAACATGAAGGATTTTAAAAATTGCTTTTACATTTTATTTGTAATTTCTATCCTGTCGTATTAATTTCTATTTGCTTTCAAATTTTTGCTTATGTCATCTTTTCTCTTATTAACTACTGTATTAACACTGGTATAGTACAAGTACTGTGTAACAAATGAGTGCATCTTGATCCATTTACAGACTTACTAGCTCCAAAGCAAGAAACTGTTCCAGTGGTTTCTCTGCCAGCATCCAGTTTTCCCCATGAAGTTGGAAGCGAATTGGCCTCCATTTCCGTTGTGCCCCTGACTTCCCTTCTGCCCCTGCAAGTAGAAGAGAGTGCCCTGCCATCCGCAGCGTTGGCAAACGGGGGGAAGATTCCCTTCACCATGCCTGACGCCTTCTTCGATGATGGAGATATGGTCCTTGGAGAGGAAATAGACGACCTCCTAGATTCTGCACCAGAAACGAATGAAAGTGTCATGGTAAGCATCAGGGATCCTCCACTCTGCTGCTCATGGTTAGTTAACTTGGTCGTGTTTTAAAAAGAATTCAAGTGTTCACAACAAAATGGGTAGTTCCCTCATTCAACAGTCTTTGCCCTCACCAGTCCATGAACATTGGTTACATTCTTCCTATTGTGTCAGCATTTGACGTGGTCATTTTTGAAGGGAGGTGGGGTGAGGAAACCATAAACTTGATAGGTCAAGTTGGCTCCAACACATAGCGACCCCGTATAAAGCAGAATGAAACCCTGTCAGGTCAGTCCTACGCCAACCTCGGCTTCTCCACTGTGCTGACTGAGCCTCTTGTTAAAGCCACCGTGGCGCCTGTCCATTTAGTGCAGGATTTTCCTCTTTGTCGGCGACCTGGTACTTTCTCAAACCTGATGGCTTCTCCAGGGACCACTGTCCACTAATTAGCCCATTTTCCTTTAACTGATGCTGGGATCACATATTACGGAAAGCGTTTGTTTCATTCAAGTAAAGATGTGGTCTTTATAGGAAAATAACTTTCGTGACTTCTTATTCTTCAAGGATGATCCTTCAGTAACCATAAAGCAATGGCCAGCCAACTACAACTGTCTAAACATGGCCTGCTGCCTGCCTGGGTTTCTTTTACCACCCCCTCCTCCTTTCTTTTTTTTTTTTTTTTTTTTGTTGTTGTTATAATAGGATGTAGCACATCCTTTGCCGGTTCAGTACCCACTGCCTGTTTTTTGTATGGCCTGCAAACTAAGAATGGTTTTTACTTTTTCTTAAAATAATTGAAAAAGAAGGAAATGATATTTTATGGTATGTGAGAATGACACAAAATTCAAATTTCAGCATCCGTAAATACAGAGCCATACCTGTTCACTTGGATGTGGTTTGTGGCTATTTTCTTGCTATGATCACAGAGTCAGGTAACGGTAACAGAGACTCGAATGGCTACCAGGCTTAAACAATTTATTGTATGGCTCCTGACGGAACAAGTTTGCTGCCGTCATAGCATAGTAATAGGAGCAGTAAATAAGGAAGTGACGAGAGGGGTGAGTTAGAGGGAGGCATTCAAAATTATTAAGAGAATTTAACAGTTTGCTCCTTCTTAGAATAGTAGCAATAGCAGGAGTAATGGAGGTGATTAGAATTGAATTAGAGGGGGAAATGAGAGCTGGTTTCCAGGTTTGAAGAAGTAGATGATGTCTGTCTGTGTTGGACTGTCTGCAGGAAGAAGACAGGAAAGAAACCTGAGCAAAAGAGGGGGTGGGGGGTGGATTGTGCAGAACAGAATTTCAAATTCTCATGGATTCTAAGATTCTGTGAGCTATGGGAGTTAAGTGAGCCCCTGAAACTATTGCCTTGGGATAATGATAGTGACCTTTAAACCTTTATCCTAAAACATCCTCTGACGTCTTCATAAAACCAGGCATTAGTTTAGCATTAGCTAGTAAAGACTAGCTTGAGCACTGTGCCCTTTTAAGAACTATCACTGTGGCATCAAACAGACTACAGCCATTTATTTGAAAGATTAGATAGGACAGTTAGGGAGCAGCGAGCTGGTATGAACAGAAGAGAAATGACTCAGAAAAGGGCCGTTAGGGTGGTTGTGCAACTCAGAGCTTGTCATCATCGTCACTCATTTGCACGTGAAGAACAACTTGCACTGGTGTGTATTCTGTTCTCTTCTGAACAACAACAATGAATTCTTTTCTTTCTTTTTTTTTTTAAAGGCAAACACCTTAAGTTTGGGCCTTTCTATTTTAAAACTATGGTAAATACATGTGTAACACAATGTTTGCCTTTCTGATAGGCTTCATGTGTGTGATGCAGTGACCTTGATGCCAATCTTTGTGTTGCATAATGATTTCCCCATCCCTTTCAGACTTCTTCCACCACCCTGACTGTGAACTTGCTGAGTTAATTTTTATTCAACATTATAAAGTGTCAGGATTACTGGATATAATAGTTTAAAAAATAACCGTAGGTTTTCAGTGAAGGTTTATCCAGCAGTTTAGAGGTTCCCTTTCAACAACTTCTCCCAGATTGTCCAGTGACACTGGCTATGTTCTTCAAGAGCATTTCCTTTATTATTTCCATTCTGGTTGTTTCATTTCCATTAATCTAGTCTCCTTGCCCCTTTATATTCTGACCTCTGTTTTAAAGTAATTGTTGACCATTCTCATGTAGAACAGAGCAGGACTTTAGGTTTGTATGCCAGTCTGTTAATAGCTACAAGGTGACATCAGGCACTAGTTTTGGTTCAGAGTTTAGAATGTCTCAGGACAATAGTCTTTGGGGGTTGAGGTAAGGGTGCCCTCCATTCTCAATTAGTCCAAAAAAATCTGGTTTTCAAAGATAACTTGAGGTTCATGTCTGTTCTGTTTCTCCCGTTGTGTCAGTGTCTATTTCCTGTGGCCCCAGGGTAATAATTTAACTGTAGTTCACCAATCTTGTGTGGAGGTTCCTGACATTGAATTGCCTCTTTTTCCTTCTTCAGCCATCAGCGCTAGTGAGAGGACCCCTTCCGACGCCTGCCGCTGTCTCTCCTAGCATGTTCCCAGCCTCTTTGCTAGGAGCCTTGCATGTTGGTGCAAGGTATACACCTCCACCTTCCTTTTCAGAACTGTATCCACCCCTGACTTCGTCTTTAGGAGATTTTTGTTCCTCTTTGAACTCATTTTCAATGAGTGAATCCACTCGAGGTAAGAATGGAGCCGAAAATGGTAAATGATTGCAGTGGGTTTTCTGCAAAAGAGAAATTTGTGTGTGGCCATAATTTACAAGATTCTAGGCAGTAGATGCTTGAATTAGGTTCATTGCAGTTAAAATATAAAAACTAAGCTAAGCCTTTAGTTTTAAAGCCACCTTGACTTAAACTGTGCCGTTGCAGGGATCAGGAAGCAAAGGCTTAAGAATAAGACAATGTGTGGCACAGCTTATCTCTGAGTTTAGCTATAGTCATTTGCAATGTTTTGGGACAAAACGACTTTTAATGTGTTCTCAAAAAAAAGTATACCCCATCCTAAAGGGTCTTATGGACAGACTCTCCTTTTAAAATCTGAATTAGGCAACCATTGTGGGCCAACGTGTAAAATACAAAACTTAAACCTATTTATTTTAGGCCTCATCTATTGAACTCAGTCAAATGTGGCAGATGCCTTAATGTTTTAGTGGATTGTTATATAGACTTTCCAATCTGAGTCCTGTTTCTGTAATCCTAAATTGACTTTATGCTTGAAGAAATAATGTTAAAAACCCTTGTAATTATGGTTACATGGTTAAAGGGACACAATTTAAATAATTGATTAAAAATAATTCATGCTATGGGAGGCAGGACAGAGAAGAAATCATTTGAGTAGTAGACTAAAAGAAAATTGAGCTTTGCTGGGTAAGGAGCTGCATGGCCAACCCAGAAAAAAATGCAGATCAATCCACCATCTGCTCCAAAGGAAAAAGATTGGCGATCTCCTCCTGTGACATTTACAGCCTCTGAAAACCCACTTGAGGCTCAGCTATGGGTCCGTTCTGACCCCACAGCACCTAACAACAAACAACAATCTTTTCATGAACCTTTTTAATAACTTTTTTTTTTATTTGGACCAATGTTTTAGAAGTAATTTTTCATTTATTTGGTAGTGAGTTGCTGCTTTGCATTTTAAAAAGAAGCCCTTTGCCCATTTTGAATGTGATTTCCCCCCCTCTTTGTCTTTTTAACAGTCCCATTTTGTAGCCCTTTCTTTAGCTTCTTTCTCTGAAAACAACTTTTTTTTATTGGCATACATGTGACTAAGTGTTGCTTATGCCCCTCGTTTCTGGGAGAAAGGAAAAACTAATGCCCAGTCTCTTCTATAGTGTCAGTGTTGAACAAGATTGCTCTCTGGAGTTGGGGTGGGAAAGTGGCGTGGGAAAAGCCAGCCTCAGTAAGCCCCTGTGAGCCCTGATATTCTTAGTTCATGATTAGAATGAAAAGATCCATTGAAATGTTTTTGTTATTTCAGATCTGCCCACCTCAACTTCTAGAGAGGGAACACCGCTTAACAACACAAATTCTTCCCCTTTACTTGTAAGTGCCACTTCCTTTTTGTAAAAACCTCACTTAAATTGAAAAAAAGATCTTTTACTTTAAGTTACTAAGTTACTTGAACGAATGTGATGCTCTCCTTTAAATCTCATATGTGCTCTGGGAAATGGTGGCGTGGGAAGGCTTGTCTCGGACCTCCAGGAATAAATGTTCTGTGTTTGGTTGACACTGGATCATGAGACTGGCTATTGAGGTGTTAAAGCCCATGAGAGGCTTTAACACATCGATAAAACAAGGACACGAAGGTCAGGGCGTGCAACTATGTGTACTGTTGAAGCAGAACAAATCACCTGTTAGCAATTCAGAGAGGATAAAGAAAAAAAATACCTCAAGTCCAAAGAAGAGGAAAACAGACCGTTTTATACAGACAAGCATTGAATATAGCATAGTACTATCTTTAGTTTGTGAAGAGTCTCTTAATTTTCAGATGAATTCCATTTCCTTCTTTAGTTGTTGTGTGGTCCCATTTAGTCAGTTCCGACTCATAGAATCCCTGTTCTATACAACAGAACAAAATGTTACCTAGTCCTGTGCCACCCTCACTGTCATTGCTGTAATCAAGCCCCATGTTGCAGCCAATGCATCCATCCATTGCATGCATCAGTCCAGCTCATGCGTCAGTCCAGCTCATGTATCAATCAGTCCAGCTCATGGCTCTCAGTATAGCTCATGCATCAGTCCAGCTCATGCATCAGTCCAGCTCATGCATCAGTCCATCTCACGCATCAGTCCAGCTCATGAGTCAGTCCCGCTCATGCGTCAGTCCAGCTCATGAAGTGGCTTTTTTTCACCAGTCCTCTACTTTACCAAGACTGTTATCCTTTTCTCATGGCTGTTCCCTCCCAAAGTCATATCCAAAATACATGAGATGAAGTCTCTCCATCCTCACTTGTAGGAAGCATTCAGAGTTGGTTTTCTTCAGTGGTAGTGTAATGTTTGTTGGCTGTGGTTTCTTATTTATTATTCCTCTTACAGATGAATGGACCAGGTAGTTTGTTTGCTCCTGAGAGTTTACTGGGCATTTCAACTCCATCTAAAAATGACTTTGGAAACTTTTTTGGATGTGCAGTCAGTAAGCCATCTCCGTCGGTGCTGCCAAGACATCCCCTTGAAGGAACCCATGAATTGAGACAAGCTTGCCAGATCTGCTTTACAAAAACAGGTCAGGGTCAAACAAAGGGGTAGATGATAGTAAACTAATAAATAATCCAGAAGTTTTATGAATTTGTAAATACATGTGAAAAATACCAGCTACGGGGACTATTCATCTCTCTTTTTAAGAAAATATGTATTGTCTTTATTTTGAATAGCAGAATGCACAGCCAAACCCACATCTAATCACAATGTAGACATGATCAGTTCTTACTTTGCTGAGTTCTGTCTATTGATTTGGAGCCTTTGGCGGTTGTTAGGATACTCTTCTCTTGTTTGATATGATTTTATTTACAGAATTGTGTGGAACACACTTTACCTGATTTGTGGAGCTTATTGAAATGTGAAATTTTTTGCTTTCAAGTTTATGTTTATAAAGGGTTTGGTGGTTTTCAAATAAATCTAGAATTAGGAAAAAAACATTATAAGGAATATATATGTAAACTAATAGCACCTTTGAAAATGAAAAGTATTTTCTATTGGTTTGTGTCACAATACAAATTATTTTCTATTGTCTTGATTCATGACTTTACCTCAGAATTGAGTGGATGGAATACACGTGATTTTTCTAAATTGGAACCAACCTCATTTTCTTTCATGTTTACTAATGTTCTTTAATATTTATGAGTCATAAAATTCGTTTCCTACTTGTTAAATACGAATGTGCTTGGGGAGGACTGGTATTGGATATAACTGGGTGGTCTGGCAAAACTGTATAAACCCAAAAATCTACTTTAATAAGCCTGTTTGCATTTTGGGGTTGTGAAAGTGAGGTGGGTTTTGGTGGGAATTTATCTGTTAATGTTTACTCATTTACTCATGTCCACTTGTAAATGTGCCTGTAAAATATAGGCAGTTTATTTGTGGCTTGGGTTTGGTTTTTACAATTTCTTTATATTTTTTTCAGGCCCTAAGTTAATGGATTTCACTTACAATGATAATATAGATCATAAATGTAAGAAAGATATTTTAATTGGTAGGATAAAGAATGTTGAAGATAAATCATGGAAAAAGATACGACCAAGACCAACAAAAACTAATTATGAGGGACCATATTATATATGTAAAGGTATTTACTTTAATTGCTTAATAGTGTATGTTAGTAAGTGATGGATGGCTTCCTGTATCTATTGTAAAAATTCCACTAATTGTTAATTTGAATATTTAGACATAGTAGCAAGTTACTTGGAATAAGAGATATTAGTGTTGCGGGGAGAAGGGTGCAACAATGAATGAATGGAATTCCAAAATCTCTGTAGATGTTCATTGAAATGAAAAATAAACAACCTAAATTTAAAAAAAAAAAAGAGATATTAGTGTTTTATACGGTCTTTATGATTTTTTTTTTTTAAGGTCTAATGTAAGGTATATTTTGTGGTTGTTTATGGAAGTTGGGCTTTACCGATTTTAAGCAGGAAGCAATCTCGAACTTCTGTCTCAGTCTAAGCAGAATTAGAGCACTAAACTGCAGCTTTTAAAATTGCTCTTTTCAGCCTCTTTTGAGAGGACTTGTTTTTTTCTCTTTTTGTCATGTCATACCACTTCACATGAATGAGCTAGGCATGTCTCAAATGATTTTTGAAAATTTTTATTTATTTTGTTGTTGAGAACACACAGCAAAACATATACAAGTTCAAAAATCCTTACATTTCTAATTCTTCAGTGGCTTTCCGTGATTTAGTGGCTGATTGTGTTCTTTGAGTTGTATAACCATTCTCACCTTCTTTTTCGGAATCGCCCCTTCCCTCTTGACCTGAACTTCTCCAAGACCCTTAGGCTGCGAGCTGGTGTGTGAGTTGTTGTTGTCAGTTTGATTCCGTAAGTTGTTATTGTTAGGTGCTGTCAAGTCCACTGTAGTTCACAGTGAAACTTTGAGCAGTGAATAATAGATCGTAAATTTGCCCTGTCCTCTGCCATCCTCATATTTCTAATATACTTGAGCCTGTTGATGGCTCTTAGAATGGCACAGTACTCAAAACAGGCATTTTTTTACTAGTTAAGCGAGACTATTATTTTGTTTTTAGATGAATTTAGGAGATATTTTTTATTTAAGTTTTAAAGATTCTTTTAGAGCAATAGTTTCAGGTGTTCATCCAAGCTCACTGGCTCCAGAAAGTCTGGAGCACAAAGTAATTTCAAATTCTGATCTGTATTAAGGACATTAGGGAATTTTTGATCAAAATAATGCCAGTTGGGCCCATTCAGTCTAATGATTTTGAGACATAGGCAGAGAACATGAGATTATTGAGGCTCTTTATCATAAAAAACAGCCTAACTTATGGTACTTTTCTTTTAAAAAAGTTAACACCATATCTGGATGTTATTGTTAAAATAGTAATATGTATTTCATTGAATAAAGCTCTCTGTGCCTTATATGGAAATTCAGTGACTCCCTGAAGATGTTTCCTACTTCTTGGCCTCCACAAAGCATTTGCCTGTATGCTAAATGTCTTTTAACACCCTGTCTTTCTAGATGTGGCTGCTGAGGAAGAGTGCAGATATTCAGGCCACTGCACATTTGCTTATTGCCAAGAAGAGATTGATGTCTGGACACTGGAGCGGAAAGGAGCCTTCAGTCGAGAAGCTTTCTTTGGTGGCAATGGGAAGATAAACCTGACAGTGTGCAAACTTCTCCAAGAGCACCTGGGAGAATTTATATTCCTTTGTGAGGTGCTTTTTCCCTCCGCCCTGGATTTATCTACTGTTGAAAAATTGGTGATAGTTTCTGACTTGGAAGTGTGGGCATATAAAGTACTTAGTCTAGACGTATAGTAAACATTCACTTAGTACATGGTACATGGAATTATTATCAAATAAGGTACTTTGTTGGTGTAGAGAGAGGTTAAATAATAGACTGCCAACAGAAACGTTAGCAATTAGAACCCATCAAGCCACTTCAAGGGAGAAAGATGTACCAGTCTTTGTCTGTAGCGAGTATAGCCATGGACCACCCTGTCCTGTATGGTCTCTGTGAATTGAGATTGACTTAATTACACCCAACAACAACATGATTATCAATTAGACTAATAGTTAGGCTTCATACTGAGTATTAAATAAGTATAAGTAGATATTGGCATTGGGACTAAAGAAGTATTATTCAGAGTGTAGGGTTTCTATTTTCTATTATGTTTTTGTGATGTTCTCTTTTCTCTCTCTCTATTCCAGAAATGTTTTGATCATAAGCCTAGAATGATAAGTAAAAGAAATAAAGATAATTCTACTTCTTGTTCCCACCCGGTTACAAAGCATGAATTTGAAGACAATAAGTATGTTGATAGTTTTCTCATTTTCATGACAAAGTAGATCCTTTCCTTAGATCCAGATAAAATCAGTCATAGCATCCCCTCATGCATCCCATTCTACCTTTGGGGTTTTATTTTTGGGTTTTGGAAGAAAAGAATTTTAAAATGTCTTTTTAAAAATGTCTTATCAGTGTTAGTAGATATGGCAAGGAAGAAGGGAATTTTTAAACTGATTACTTAATACAGAAAAATAATTGTTTTATAGCTTATTAGGATAGAGATTAAATTATTAGATGGCTAAAGGTCTAATTTGCTCCTATCGACCTCCAGTTAGACCAACAATAGCAGATGTTGCTGTTGTTAGGTGCCGTCGAGTCAAGTATGACCCACAGCGACCCTATGGACAGCAGATCTGAACCCTGTCCTATCCTGCGCCATCCTCACACTTTCTGACACACAAGAGTCCATAGTAACTTATTTTATTGGAAAATGGTTAATTTGCCTTCTCAGTCTAGAATGTATTATGTTTCTGCCCCTCTGCTTTCATCTGAAAAGCTGGAGAACAGGATTGAACTGTCATTCCATTTTCATTTTAGGTGCCTTGTCCACATTTTGCGAGAGACAACGGTAAAATATTGCAAAATCCGTTCTTTCCACGGCCAGTGTCAGCTTGACTTATGTCGGCATGAAGTTCGATACGGCTGCCTGAGGGAGGACGAGTGCTTCTATGCGCACAGTCTTGTGGAGTTGAAGGTCTGGACAATGCAGAATGAAACAGGTGGGTTTGCAAGTGACTGAGAGGCGTGTCTATCCTGGTGCAGTCAGGTTTGGATGAAAGGATCATTTGGGGATCTCTCCACCTGATGTTGTCAACTCTGTTGATTTTGTCCTCCACTTTAAATGATGCTGCTGTGGTTACCTCCCGACTCACAGCGACCCCATTTGACAGACTAGAATTGCCCCCTACGGTCTTCTGGGCTGAATTGTTTATGGGAGCAGATTGCCAAGTCTGTCATGGAGCTGTTGAGTGGATTGGAACTGCCAACCTTTCTGTTAGCAACCAAATGCTTAACCCCTGTATCACAGGACTCCTTTACTTCAGACTGACTGTGCAGTCACTTTTTAGAGTTGCTGGCTTTGAATTTAGACTCCTGTATTTATTTTTTTTTTATATAAGCTCATACATGTATCTTAGATTGGGAAGTGGAAAGATTAGTTAGAAGGCACGAAAGCTTTGTCAGAGTTATAGTATCATCATCCATGTTCGACTGTATTAGGCTTCATGATAATAATTGCGGAGAAGTGTTCCTCCAAGTTAATAATGACCACACTGTTTTGGTTTTGGTATTCTTGCCTTTTTTTAAAAAAATTCATTCATTGTTTCCCATTTGCCTCCCTTCCTCTCCTTTCCCCCTCCCCTAGACCCCTTTGCAAAGCACGTCTTGTTCCAGATTGTTGTCATACATGGAATGCCTAGTCATACATTCCTTTCGGACTGTTCTTTCCCTCATCTGTCCCAGTGCCGTTCGTGTTCACTATCTAGCCACTTTTTCCCTCCCTTCAACCTCCCATGTGAGCCCTGTTTTAAACAGTGACCACACTATTGTGGTGAGATGCCATCACATCTCCCAACTCACAACAGCCCGTGCACAACAGAGCAACACCTGGCCCGATCCTCTGTCGTCCGTACTGTCTCCACTGTACTGTGTCTGTTATTGCGGTCACTATATCAGTCCACCTTGTTAAGGGACGTCCTCTCCTTTGCGGACCCTCTACTTCTCCAGGCATGATGTACTTTTTCTGTGGCTGAACCTTCCCTGGTAACATGCCGGAAATACGTGAGATGAAATCTCATCGTCCTTGATCTAAGGAGCAGCCTGGCTGCACTTTGCCTAAGACAGATTAGTTTGCTTTGGTGTTTCTTTTTAAAATTTTTGTTTGTTTGGTTGGTTTCCATTACTCTTCTCTAACACCTCAATCCAAAGGTATCACTTCTCTAGTCTTCTGTATTCATTGTCCAACCTTCAGATGCACATGAAATAATTGAAAAGACCATGTCTTGGGTCCAGCATAGGTATGTTAGTTTTTAAACTGACATCTGTGTTCCTTAGCTCTTTAAAGAGGTCTTGTATCATAATGCTTTGCATGTTGCACTGCCAACTGAAAGGTCAGTGGTTTGAATCCACCAGCTGCTCCACAGGAGAAAGATGAGCGGTCTCTTCTCAGAAAGATCAACAGCCTCTACATCCTATTGGAGGGTCACTGTCAGCTGGAATTGACTCACTGACTGTAGGTTTTCCCAATGCAGTATGTCCCTTGATTTCCTGTTGCTCTGTGAGCATTGATATGGATCGAAGTAAAATAAACTCCTTGTCAGCTTTCATCTTTCCCCCATTTATGATGATACTTACTGTTTATTGGTCCAGTTGTGAGGATTTTTTGTTTTCTTTATGTTGAAATGTGACTCATGCTGAAGGCTGGTGGCATATTATTCTCTATTCCACCTAATGGAAGGTTTCTCTGTTTCCCAGGTATCTCACATGATGCTATTGCCCAAGAATCTAAACGATACTGGCAACATTTAGAAGCAAGCATGCCAGGGGCTCAGGTAATTTCTGTCCTGCACTTGGTAGCCCATCTACATACTACAAGAGCCTAGTGGATATTGGTTGTAGGACAATCAGTTAAGGTTTAAAATACAGTTGCTGTTTTAGTTTTTAATGAAATTGAGTAATTCTTGTATGATTAAAAACGATTCTCAATTTTAGTTATTATAAAAAATAAATTCCTAGAACTCCCTGAATAACTGCCAAATAAGGCTCCTCTTCTTAGCGAGCCACGTGCACAAAACAGTTGGCATCTTGAGCTTTGTGGTCTGTAGAGGTAAAAGAGATGAGCCTTATCTGTAATTTTGCTCCTCATCTCTCAGAAATCGCTATGGCCTCCCTCCCTTCTACTCTAACACATCACTTCCAGAGCTGACTTTTCATGGATTCTGATGTTTTACAGTCATCACTTCCAAAGCTGACTTTCATAAGTGGCCTTTTCCATGTTCTCTGGTTTGTGAAACTGAATTACCAGAGTATATGTATATACAATA